TTTCCTCCCCCCCCCCCCCCCCGTGGTAATTCCCAAAGTATTTTGGGACTTCTGGTACTCTACAGATGAATGCTACAATACTCTCATAAAGTCATAAAGTGCATCTATTTAATTGGCTTATTGGAGTTCCTAATTCTAGCACTGGATGTGAGTCCGGTAATGCAGTAATTTAGCTAAATGTTTCTGAATTTTGTTTAACTTTTCTTTGGGGAAGGTAGAACAGAACTGAATGCTGTCAGTTGCTGGTCCAAGTGTAACTAGTAAACCTGCCATCAACTGCTTTTCATTCAAGCTTCCAAGATAAATAGGAACGCTGATATTTGAAGTAGTGCTTGTCAATGAGGTAAGGGCGAGAAGTCACACTCTGCTAAATCATTTGAATAACTTTTGAGAACAGGCCAAAGCTTTTCACTTCTTTTGGACATTTGAGAAGGGGAGTAATTGTGATCTAGTACAGATTGCTAGTCTGGGAATTAAAACTGAGCTTTGTTTTTGGCTGCTATAGGTTTCTTGTGCAACTGAGCAAATTGTTTAACTTACCTGTGCTGTAGTTGCCTCCTTGTCATCTTGCCTAGTGGGACAGTGGTTGGGGTTTAGTGGGATTACTAAATCCTCCTAAGTAGGGTGCAGTGCTATTTAGCATGTATAACTAGGAAACTTACTACTTTTTCTAACCCTACTACTACTGTATTTCTGGGTAACCATTGGCCAAGTCACTTTCTCTCTCTTTTTCTTTTTTTTTTCCCCCCTCCATCTGGAAGAGAACTAGCCTTATTGCCATCATCTTATAAAGTGTCTAAAGCTCTAAAGATGGAAGAGAGCTATGCAAGAGATTAATTATGCATAGCCATGCATGGATACCTTTTTTTAAAGTGGAGGTGGGAAAGAGAACTTTGTTCTGCAGTGAAATTACGTGAGCCTGAAAAAAAAATGTGCTGTTCTTTTAGTTTGTTAAAAAATGTTTTCTTTGTCAGAAGTATTTTGTGATATTTTTGTCATCAGTACTGCCATTAAAATGTTAAATACATGTTATCTGAACAATTTTGGAGAAAAACAGGCTCTGAGAAAAATATTTGTGAATCTGTCTCTTTGAATACTTTTAGAATTATCCACCGGGTAGCGTTTTAGGCACAGTTATAAATCCAATATCAATCAGCTTGATATTTGCTACAGAAACTTTTCTTTTTTCCTTCTACTTTTTAAAAAATGCTTTTAAAAATAGTAGTTTCAGGCTGCTAGCCAAGTGTAGATACTCTGTCCTCCACAGTAAAACCATTGTAGTGCAAAATCACTAGTGTGTTTCTTGGTGTTGGTGGGTTTTTTGTTTTTTAATTCTTTTTTTAGATAGCCATATGGCACTGATGACAGATTCTTATTTGCTCCTGAGCCCTATGAGGTTGCTAAGAGTTGTCAGATGACACTTGCTCACATGAGAACCATTAACAGGGTGTTGTAGCTGGTGTTAGAACAACCTTGCAGCAATGAAGGGCGAGTCACTGCAAAAGCAACTATGTCTTTTTTTTTTTCCTTCCCCCCCCCCAAAGGCCATATGGTTCGGTCTTGTGACTACATAATTGCCAGCTACCTAATCACATACCAGGAAGCAAACATAGTTAAAGTCAATATTAGTTGTTGTATCTGCTACAGCTTTGCACCAGGCTTGGTAGAAAAACTCAAACAGCAGCAAGAGCAAGTCTTTAATGGCTTCTGAAACTTGAAAGTCATATCTACTGCTCTGTCCTGGAATAATTACCGCAGTGTATTAGCTATAGCTATCTTTCTGCATTAATGGCTTGTAAAATATATGACTTTTTTTTTTCCTTAACAAGAAATTGGGCAGACTGGGTTCCTGTTTAGGGAAGAAGGCTGATAGTAATTACCATTGTTAATGACTTATCTATAGCAAAGAAATCTGAGGCTGTATCTCTTCAGCCTGTATTTGTTTTTTTGAAGGAGCTTTGCAAGAGCATCTTTAGCATAAGAAAATGTGTGGAGGAACACCAAAAGCTACAAATGGCAGGGGGGGACGAATAGAAAGAGCAAGAAATAGCAACAATGTACTACTTGGAAATAATCTCTCTCCTACCAAACTGGATAAAAGGATTAGAAAAGCTTTGGGAGACCAAAGTGTCAGCTGTGTGAGCAGAGTGACTAAAGTGCTGCAAGACAGGTATGCATGTAACTTTTTTTTGTGTACATAATTTTTGGCAGAGAATGGGTATTCTAAGTGTCTGTTGGATTTATAATCATGTGCTTAAAGGGCTAGCCTGTGAATAATTTAGAAAGCTTTGCTAGGATGATATTCTTGCTGATAATGGTGATTGATACTTCAGGAAGCCTTCCTTGTGTGAATTTGAATCTACATTCTTGACTCTGTACATTCTGTGTACATGCTAACTGAGGTCTGCTAACTGAAACTTTCTTTTCAGTTAAGGTGAAATAATCTTACCTTTCCTTTCTAATGTTCTAATTAGTTTCTCCTTTTTATTTTTATTTTTTATTTTTTTAGTCTCCTGTGTTAATGGCTCAAGTGGTAATAGTTTGCAGTGAAGATGGGAAGGAATGCTGTGAAGTAGGGGAAGAATGGAGAGGGGGCAACCCTCTGCAATACTTATAAATGATCTCTAGAACATTACATCAAAATAATGTGCAGTATGAATAGCATTTCTTTAACTTCTTTGTGATGCCCTTTTCAGGTGTGTGTCAGGATGTCTCTAGCTTCTCAGTCTCTTCTGCTGCACAGCTGTAATATGAAAGTACAGTTGAGGGCAGCTCTTTTTAAATTCTTATCAAGGGTGTTAGAGTAAAAATTATACTTTCAGGATTGCTGACCTAAGAAGCAATGAAGTATATAAGTACATATATGTGTGCATGTATGTATGTTTAAGGTCATCTTTTATTTCTTTAGCCTGTGGGTGTTACACTGAAATGGTGGTTAGTGTCTTTCTAAAGTGTTTCAGGTCAACTGAAGTAGTTTTCAAATATAAACGAATAGATCACTATTTAGTTATTGCATATGTGCTGGTTGCTAAAAAGTTGAGCTGATCAGTGTTTGCGGATCTGTGTTAACTGAAAATATTGATTCAAGGCAGAGAGGGGCAAAATTTCATAGCTTTTTTTCAGAAACAAATGACTCTGCTTTCCCCTAAGTAAAAAATCTCCTTGCTTTCAAGTCTTATGTCTGTGAGGAAAGAAATTTTGAACAAGCCAAAGAATAATAGTTTATTTGCCACCTTGGGAGAAAATGAAGCAAATTTTAAATGTAATTCTAATATGGAATAGAAGCTTGTTAGGGCATCTGTAAGCTGTTTCAAACTCACAGCTTTCAAAAAAACCTATTATCCATAGTGTTTT